ATACCTATGCAGTACTTTGTAAAACCCTAAAACATACCCATGCGGTACTTTGTAAAACCCTAAAACCCTAAAACATACCCATGCGGTACTTTGTAAAACCCTAAAACCCTAAAACATACTCATGCGGTACTTTGTAAAACCCTAGAACAAACTCATGCAGTACTTTGTAAAACCCTTAAACCCTAGAACATACCCATGCAGTACTTTGTAAAACCCTAGAACATACCCATGCAGTACTTTGTAGAGGAAGTTCAGGTCTCGGCTGAACAGTTTGATTATGGGGACCAGTTGGTCTACAGAGCTGATGGGGCGTATCGGCGTGAGCATTCGTATAGACCAGGAGCAAGCACACGTTAGTTTGGCTATAGATGAAGTGCCCCTTGTCATGTGTGCGTGAGCATTCGTATAGGCAAGAAGCAAACACGCGTTAGTTTGGCTATAGATGAAGTACCGTTTTTCATGTGTGCGTGAGCATTCGTATAGGCAAGAAGCAAACACACGTTAGTTTGGCTATAGATGAAGTACCGTTTGTCATGTGTGCGTGAGCATTCGTATAGGCAAGAAGAAAACACACGTTAGTTTGGCTATAGATGAAGTACCGTTTGTCATGTGTGCGTGTGATATGCGAGTGACATACGGAGATAGGCAAGAAACAAGCACATGTTAGTTTGGCTATAGATGAAGTGCCGTTTGCCATGTGTGCGTGTGATATGTGGGTGACTCGGATAACTTTCCGCAAACCGTAAACTTGAACGAACGGAAAGGTCTCTTCACAGACGGGAAGCCATGCTTCTAAGATAGACACCACAAACCAATGCAACACAGAAGGGATGACAACACATACCACACGCGAGAGAGACACATTCATATGTCCTTACCTGTCGATCAAAGCATGCACAAGGTAGCGTGCGTCGTTGAGGCGTAGTTTAGAGCCACTGTACTTGACTCGGTTCATTAGTTCAGGCATGAAGTCACTGGCCACATTCTCGACCGTGAACACGGTGTCCTGGTTGATTAAAAAGATATTGATCTGCGCGAAGGGGAAAGGGAACGGTGACTTGTGAGAGCGAAAGAAAGGGTATGATATACGTTTATAAGATAGAGTGGAGGGATGTTCTTTTGTGGGTGGGGTTATACTTTGGTGATGTACGTTTATAAGATAGAGTGAATGGTTGTTCTTTTGTGGGTGGGGTTATACTTTGGTGATGTACGTGTTTATAAGATAGAGTGGATGGATGTTCTTTAGTGGGTGGGCTTATACTTTGGTGATGTACGTTTATAAGATAGAGTGGATGGATGTAATTCTGTGGGTGGGGTTATACTTTGGTGATGTACGTTTATTAGTAGAGTAGATGGATGTTCTTTTGTGGGTGGGCTTATACTTTGGTAATATACGTTTATAAGATAGAGTGAATGTATGTTCTTTTGTAGGTGGGCTTATACTTTGGTAATATACGTTTATAAGATAGAGTGAATGTATGTTCTTTTGTGGATGGGCTTATACTTTGGTAATATACGTTTATAAGATATAGAGTGAATGGATGTTCTTTTGTGGGTGGGCATATACTTTGGTAATATACGTTTACAAGATAAGTGAATGGATGTTCTATTGTGGGTGAGCTTATACTTTGGTGATGTACGTTTATAAGATAAAGTAAATGGATGTTCTTTTGTGGGTAGGATTATACTTTCATGATGTACGTTTATAAGATAGAGTGAATGGATGTACTTTTGTGGGTGGGGGTATACTTTGGTAATATACGTTTATAAGATAGAGTGAATGGATGCCCTTTTGTGGGTGGGGTTATACTTTGGTAGTATAACATGCATATCCATTCATACACGCATACACATACATACATACATACACACACACATGCATATCCATCCATACACGCATATACATACATACATACCTACATACATACACACACACATGCATATCCATCCATACATACATGTCTAAGGAGAACCCTATCGTTCCTGCCCTCCTTCATGGAGATGACGCCCAACATAATCTGTAAGTCTCCGTTGGCATACACTTCGAGTTTCGCTCGTTGTCGATCCTCTAGAACGTCTGTGATCTGTGGTATGATTGGTTGGGATAGGTATGAACCAACTGGTGACTGTTATGTACAGACATACACCCTAAACCCAAAAATCAACACAGAGCCTTAACCCTAAACCCTACACAGACAGGCGACTGTTCTGTATAGACATACACCCTGAACTCTAAATCTGAAATCCTACACAGACAGGCGACTGTTATGTACAGACATAAACCCTAAACACAAAACCTACACAGAGCCTAAACTCTAAACCCTACACGGACAGGCACATGACTCAGAGGCATCTGATAAACAGACCACTTCGAGGGAATCACCTGGTGCATTCACAAGTACTTCACCATACAACAACTGTGACAACAGACAGCGTTTACAGCAACACCGGAACATCGTGCGAACCAGACCCGTGCCTCTCACATGGACGGGAAGAATGTATACGCATATAAGCATAACATGCATACACATACAACTTGACTACACACACTTGAACACACACACACACACCCCATTTTCCCGACCACTCGACACACTCACTTACCGCCAGCGGGTGCAGCCCAAACTTATTCGCCATCCGCACAAACACAGACGCATTACGCCCGGCCAGACTGACCCACCTCACGGCCGTCTGGGCGTTCTTGGGAATACCTTTGGACAGGAAGTGATGCAGTGTCATCTGCGACGCCGACGCAGGCGCCACCGTAAGCCTATCGAACGAGTCTGACTTGATATCATTAACACTTGCAGAGGATGAGTGTGTGCTAGTGCCGGTTGAAGCCCGGGAGCGGGGGGAGTTGGCTATGTTGCCGTTGATGGGGATGTTGACCCGGCTGGCCACACGCAGCAGCATCTCCGACTGTTGGGTGCTGTAGTTGTTGTAGGCCGCGGAAGGCCCGCCGGCCCCTTGGAACTGGGTCTTGGCCGACGAGTAGGTACCGATGTGTGTAGGTAAGCCGGTGGGGGGAGCCGAGCTCATGGCGTACGAGGCTACCGACCCGTTGTCCGTATTGGGACTGGCCGGGCGCAGGTCTGAGGACACGTGCGTACGTTTATAGTAGCTGGGGCCGTAGTCATGCACAAACACCACAAACACCGCCTCGTCGCCCAGAGCCAGGGCGGCGTACTCGTGCATGCTGACCACAAACTCGGTCAGAGACACGGTGCCGCTGTTGTCGGTGTCGATTTCGACTATGAGCTTATCCAGCTGCTCGGTTTCGAGGTCCGGGAACGCGTTCATGCTCTCAAAGCCCAGCTTCATCTGGGCGTAGGTGAGTTCACCGTCCCCGTTGGTATCCAAAACGTTAAACAGCTGCTCCAGATGTTTGACGGACACATCGAAGTCAGGGTGTAAGGTGTGGGTCTGCATGGGATCGTCCCAGGTATCGCTTCTCCTACTGAAGTTGTCGTCATCGTCGTTGTCATGGTCTAGTTCTGACTCGCTTTCGTTCTCGAATGACGTTTTAACGGCATCGTAGCTTTTGGTGCTTATTGAGTCGTGGGTGTTCGACCGGTCGAATGTTTTACCACCTGTAGAGTAAAAAAGCATAGATATACGTGAATATGACATAAAACCAATCAACTGTCATAGTTGTCATAAGATAGAAGTGCGGCGCATATATATATATATATATATATATATATATATACGACACGACACACACACACACACACACACACACACACACACACACACAC